CAGTTCCACCCCACTGCCATGGGCAGGGACACCTTCCACTAGCCCAGGTTGCTCCAAGCCCCGTCCAACCTGGCCTTGAACACTTCCAGGGATGAGGCAGCCACAGCTTCTCTGGGCAACAATAACAATAATTATCAATAATAACAAGACACAAGTTTCACAGTGAAAACCAGATGCATGTAATTTCCATCTCCCCATTGACCAGTAACACAAAGTCAGGGCATTTAACTCAAGTTATTAAAACAAAACCTAACTTTCCAGGGTAGGAAAAGTGAATTTTTCCTATTCCTGCCTTCAGATGAATACTTCAGCCAGGGCTGTGCTCCTGGATCTCCTCCCACCTCCCGCCTCTGCCAGCTCTGCAAGGGCTCTGGGGGGGTCCCGCCGGAGAAGTGCGTCGCCAGCAGCCACGAGCAGTACTATGGATACACTGGAGCTTTACGGTGAGTGCTGGGAACACTTAGGCTACCTCTGGCTAATCCCAGAGGTTATGGGTGGATCACAGCTGGAGCACAGCCTCATGTTGACACTAATTTGCTAACCTCCTCTTTTTCTTCATTCCACCACAACGTCTGTAATATACATATGTGACGTGTTTTGTCTTTGCTTCCTGAAAAATGATGCAAAATCTGTAAATTCTGTAAAACTGATGTGCTGATGCCCCAGGCAAACCAGGAGAGACACAAGACCTCCTACAATGGCAGCAATGCTCCACTTTTAATACAGATAAGGAGTGTAAAGTGTTTCAGATACCTTTAAAATATTCATGGCAGGACTCCTAGACCTGGCTGTCCTCAGAGATTAATTGTACAAAATAAGACACAGGTGTAAATTAAATCTGTAGGAAAGGGCCACGATTCAAGCACACACATCATTGGCCTCTTTCTACTTCCCAGGTGTCTGGTGGAGCAGGGGGATGTGGCCTTTATTAAGCATTCCATCGTCGAGGAGAACACTGATGGTACGTGGTTATTGCACAGCTCATGTCAGGGCTGCCTTCCCCTTCTGCCTTATTACTCAGGTGTTGTGAGGTTGATGTTCTCCTGACACACAAGATCTCTGAATCTCCAAATCCCTTCTCTGTAAAGGCAAAAGTAAAGAAAGCTGGGCCAAAGATCTGAAAATGGACCAATTTGAGTTGCTGTGCACTGATGGGCAACGGGCAAATGTCATGGACTACAGGAGGTGCAACCTGGCCAAAGTTCCCACACATGCCGTCGTGACACGTCCTGAGAAAGCAAAACAAGTCCGTGAGATGCTGGAGAGACAAGAGGTTTGTAGTGCTGAGAGTGGGAGAAATACCCTGGGGTTGCCTTTATGCTCTGATTTTCCCCAAGTCAGAGTAACGTGGAAGATTTTACCTGGTATGGGGCGACAGCCTTGTCCCTTGTACTTGCCCTTCCTCCATCCCTCCCAAACCCTTCTTTCTCCTCTGCCACCTTAGCAAATACAAATTTAGGGAACACTTGTGTGACATGAATTTATCACCTCCTTTCTGGGCTCTGCTCTTTCTGGTGTGTCTCAGAAACTCCTCTGGGGTGCCCGGTCTCTGCCACAGCTGAGTCAGGCTCAGCCCCCACAGCAGCCCCCCTGCACACACACAGTCCTACAGACACTGGGGCCAACATAAGTGGGTTAAACCATCTCTGTCACTGCAAACGTTAATATTTGCTCCATCCAGGCTCTGCTGAGAGGCCCTTGGGAAGTCAGTTCCTTTTGCTCCCACCTCATGGCTAAGGCCCAAGACCTGCTGGCAGCACCTGCTGATGGGCTCTGCATGTTAAAATGGGGGGAAAAATGTGCCCAGCCATGACAGATCCCTCCTCTAAGCACATGGACAGAAAATTCTCTCCTAAATTTCTGGAGCCTGGCTTGGGGCTCCCCAGGATGATGAAGAACCAAGAGTTAAGCTTGCATGAGCTGAATCCTGCCAGCTTTCTACTTCTCTTCTCTTTGTGCCTTTATTTCAGAGACTGTTTGGAGCAAAAGGAATCAAGAATAAGGATTTCAATATGTTTGCATATGAAACCAAGGATCTCCTGTTTAAAGACTTGACCAAGTGCCTGGTGAAGCTCCGCGATGGAATAACATACAAGGAATTCCTCGGAGATCAATACTATGCTTCACTTGCCAGCCTCAACACCTGCAATCCATCAGGTAACTGGAACAGCCCAAGGGGAATTCTCTGAATTGCAGTTCTTACCTCGCAGGCACGGGCAGTTTCTTCTGGGACTGTCCATTTAATGCTTTTTAAGCAAAATGAGGATAACTCAGAAGGATGCCACTATACTTTTCTCTAAGGTCCTTGGGTGAACTGAGAATGGACTTAAAATCTGCTATTCTGGCAGCAACATGAATAAAAGATTTTTCCTCACCTTTAGAAAATACACACTTCGAGAAATGGCACAAAGAACCCACCTGGACCCATCAGTGTGGGCCCAGAGTGATCTGTGGTTACTGCCTTTTTTTTTGTGGCACACCATGGATTTTCCAAGTGATGATATTGTTGGCATGGCTGGATGTGTGCTGGTGGGACCAGAGTGTTTAAAGGCAGGATCTGAACTTCTCCCTGTCCTTTCTTTTTCCAGATCTTCTCCAGGTGTGCACCTTCCTTGAGGACAAGTAATGAGCTGGGAAGGATTCCTCGCTGGAGGGGGAGAAAACCTCAATTTATGACTCCTCTCATGCCCTCAGCACTGAACACTGAGGGCTCTCTGCCTTCACTGCTTTCTCTGCCCTCCCTCATCACTCTGAAAGTGGCTCCTTGAGACTTTACAGTTCTCTGCTGCCATCACAGCAAAAAATAAAATCTCTAACCTAAACAGGCATCCTGAGATTTTTCAAAATGGTCCTTAAGCCCATTCCTTCCTCAGCACATCTTGCTGTAGGACAGATACCAATGTGGTTATTGTCAGTTACATCTCTTGCTGCCCATTAGAGAAACTTCTTTCACCATTTGCCAAAGCAAAATGGATTCAATACATCTTAGAGTCCAATTAACAGGTGTTTTGTACTCTCTGTGCTTTTTGTTTGCCCAGGTTATCCCATTATCTCCCCAGCAGATGACAGTTCCCAAGTGTGGCTGGGACACAGGAAGAGGGAAAGTGTTTATGTCAGGGAGCTGAAGGCTGGAGAAGGGAAAAAAAAAACCAACCCAAAGTAATACAGTGGTTGTAAGATGGGAGGTGTGAATAGAACTGCTCTGTCTCTTATCTCAGCTGGCTGGGGCTGAGTCACTTCCACCTGGCAGGACTCTTAAAACACGTAAATGTATTGATAGGGAGAGTCCAGGCTTAGGATTCCTTTCTGGAAAAAAAATCTAGAACTTAGAAAAGTGTGTGTTTTGGAAGTCCGTCAGATGTAGGTTTGTTTTCTCTGAGTCTGATCCATGGTGAAAACAAAAAGGCGAGAGAAACAGGTCTGCTGAGGCTCTCTGCTTCAGAGGAGCAGTCTGGGGTCATCCAGCAGATCCTAGCCCTGTTGTCATGGCAGACACAGAGGAGTTGTTGAGGGTACAGAGGTGCTGAGAGCTCCTGGTCTTGAGGGAATGAATATTTTGATGATTTCTGGATGCATATGATATGTGTGGTAAGAAGTCCACTAGCCTGACTGAAGATCCCCTTGGATGATAGAAATGTAGGGTGTGATGGGAAAGGATGACATGTAGTCCCTCACATTTATGTAGGATGAAGTACACTGGGCAGGTGGCTCTTTTAACCAGTTCTTCAAAACTAGGAAAGAAAGAGAATCAATGCCTCTAAGTTGCTTCTACAGCTTACTAAAGCTGCACTTAGAAATATATCCCTAAGAGAAGAGAAATCATTTGTGTTCTGTATCAAGTGTAATCCTTTGTCCGATAAGTAAAAGGCATGGATAAAAGGAAGCTCACTAGAGGATCCCTCCGGTGGAAAGGTACCTCTGGGTTTTCCAGTCCAACCTCCTGCTCAAAGACAGGAGTCAACCAGGTTGCTCAGGGCTTGACCTCCACGACCTCCCTGGGCAGCCTGTCCCGCTGCCTGGCAGCCCTCAATGGGAGGAGGTTCCTCTCACACCCACTCTGAACCTCTCTGGTTTCAACACATTCCCATTGCTCTTCATCCCGCACCACTGTGAAAAGCCTGGCTCTGCTTCCTGATCTCTGATTCAAATGGGGCTGTACCTTCTTGGGTTACAACAGTCTAGGTTTGGGGCAGAGAGGTTGGAAAGCTGGGAAAGGCCCTGGGAGTGCTGGTGACAGCGGCTGGACAGGAGCCCAGGAGTGCCCAGGTGGGCAGGAGGCCAAGGGCACCTGGGCCGTGCCACACCCAGAGTGGGCACAGGACAAGGGCAGGGATTGTCCCCCTGTGCTGGCACCGCTGAGGCCCCTCCAGGGCTGTGTCCAGTTCTGGGCCCCTCAGTTCAGGAAGGACCCGGAGGGGCTGGAGCGTGTGCAGGGAAGGGAACGGAGCTGGGAAGGGGCTGGAGCAGCAGGAGCAGCTGAGGGAGCTGGGGGGGCTCAGCCTGGAGAAAAGGAGGCTCAGGGGGGACCTTCTGGCTCTGCAACCCCCTGACAGGAGGGGGGAGCCGGGGGGGGTCGGGCTCTGCTCCCAGGGAACAAGGGACGGGACAAGGGGAAACGGCCTCACGCTGTGCCAGGGGAGGTTTAGACTGGAAATAAGGGAAGATTCCTTCCTGGAAAGGGTTGTCCAGCCCTGGCACAGCTGCCCAGGGCAGCGATGGAGTCCCCATCCCTGGAAGGATTTAAAAGCCATGCGGATGTGGCACCTGGGGACATGGGATAGCGATGGCCTTGGCAGTGCTGGGGGAACGGTTGGACTCAATGGCCTTGGAGGGCTTTTCCCACCCCAACTATTCCATCATTCCGTGTTTTTCCGGGCTCAACATTCCCGGTCCCCCGGTGAATCTCAGCCCGCCCAGGTCTCCCCGGGGGAACTACAACCCCCATGAGACCCCGCGCCCGCCTTTCCCGCCCTGCGGCGGGGCCGGAAGCGGAAGTGCTGTGGTGGCCACGTGTGCGGCCATGGCGGGCGGGCTGGAGCCTGACCTGGCGGCGCTGCGGCGGGAGCTGAGCGGCCCTGCCGCGCTCTCTGTGCTCATCGCGCTCATCGCCGTCGCCGTCACCTTCCGTGAGTTGCGGGAACCCTCTCTCCCTCCGCCCCAGGGTCTGCCGCGCCCGCTGAGGGGGCGCCGGTGCCGGCGGACGGGGGCTCGGGCGTCCCCTTCTCATCCTCCTCCTGCGTCTCCTCTCTTCCGCAGTGATCTGGCGGTTCGTGCAGGGCAGGAGGAGCAGCAGGAAGGCCGTACTGCTGCTGGGCCTCTGCGACGCGGGGAAGACGCTGCTCTTTGCGCGGGTGAGAGAGGAGGGGGTGCCCGGCTTCGGCATCTCTCGTACAGAAGGGAAGGCGCTCTCTTTAGTTCGGGTTTTATTTTCTTACTGAAACCTTTAAAAAGGTGATTTTAGAGATGTAAAAAGGAATGGAGATCGGGTTTTGCCTACCAAGGAGTGTCAAAAGAAATGGTCTTTTGTTTCGAATTTGTCACAGCAAAAGGTTTTTGGGTACTTGAACTCATCCAGGTCTGCAGCTTCTCCCCGAGGGGCAGCTCCGATCTCTGCTCGGTGTGAACGGGGACAGGACCCGAGGAAAGAGCTGGAGCTGTGTCAGGAGTGGTTTAGGTTGGGTATCAGGGAAAGGCTCTTCCCCCAGAGGGTGGTTGGGCACTGAACAGGCTCCCCAGGACAGTGGTCATGGCCCCAAGGCTGACAGAGCTCAAGGACAACACTCTCAGGGACATGGTGGGATTGTTGGAGTGTCTGTTTAGGGCTAGGAGTTGGACTGGATGATGCCTGGGTTCCTTCCTGCTCAGGACACTCTGTTAAGTCTGAAAATGCAAGGAACACAGTTTTTAATTAATTGGGGAAAATGACCCTTGCAGTAATTTCCTGCATGTAAACTGAGATTGCATCTCTGGAGCCCTTTACCCCTCACGGACCATCCCAGTTTCTGAGCAGATTAAAGGTGATGCTGGTGATTCAAAGCCTGGACACTGCTTGGAGTGTTTTTTAAGCCTCTCAGGGTCCTTTTTGTGAGAACTACCTGTTCCCCACAGCTGCTGTCAGGCAGATACCGAGACACCCAGACCTCGATCACCGACAGTTCGGCCACGTACCGGGTCAGCCGGGACAAGGTGAGTGCACAGTGAGGCTGGAATTGTCTGGGACTGCTCCTGCCTTCTCCTGCTCCCTGTGCCAAACCTGGGTTGATCTTTTTCTGCTGCTCAGTCCCCAGTTTGCCCTGGGTGCAGGACAGGATTTTTCCAGGCAGTGCACTTGAAGAAAGTAGGGAAATGCTGGGATTTAGGGCAGGTTCTTTTTACTTTGCTCCTCAGACGGTGAAACCTTTCTGGCTGAACACCACGGCTGTGGGGGCAGCATGAGGGAGATTTGTGAGGGGCATTGTTCAGTCATGATTGCCTTATTTTCTTGGTAGTAATTTCTGGTTCTCCAACAAAAAACTGAAATTAAAAGCTTCATCAGGCTTAAGCAGAGTCTCCAGCTGCACTTTATATGGTCTCAGAAAGGATTTTGTTGCTTTTAGGTCCTAGACTGCCACAGACCTGGTTATTTTCAGCTTAGGGCAATTCTTTCATTCTGGAAAAGTCTCTTTCTCTTGCTGGGTGCACCTTAACTGCTGAGAAATCGTGAAAGTAGAGGGTGTTTGTGTGGCTTCTTGTCAGTCTTCAGTAAGAGTGGTGATAATAAGGTTAAAAACTTGGTAAAGGGCTTTTTTTTTCATTTTTGTGTCTCTAAGATTGAACAGACAAGCATTTGAAGGGGGAGAGGTAGTGGAATGCTGCAAGGCATTTCTTTTTTTTTTAAATGATAGGCAAGGTTTCCATTAAAATCTAGGAGCAGTGGGTAGGAAGGTCTCCTGTAGTGTTCCCTCCACTCTGGAGAACAAGGAGCCTTATCTGGAGAGCAGTGACGTGGACCCAGCTAGGCCATTCCTTCTCTTTCGTGCCCTGGCTTTGGCTGTCAGGCTGTGGGAAGGGAAACATTTGCAGCTTTCAGGTGAAAAAAAAAGTCTCTTGCAAAGGCACTTCTGTGTTATTCCCAGCAAAGTTTGGTGTACTTAGGGAGACTTGCAGTGTGGGAGTAGGTAACTTGGTTCAGAGGGTTTATATTCTATATTTGCAGGACACAAATCCAGGTTTTCCCCAGTCTGTGATCACAGGCACCCCCAGATCAGGTGGGGGTAACACCTTGTTTCTATTCCCAGGGCACCAATGTGACCTTGATCGACCTTCCAGGCCATGAGAGTTTGAGGCTCCAGTTCTTGGAGAGGTTCAAGGCTGCAGCCAGGTAACGTGGAGGAGATTGGCAGGGCAGCAGGGGGCAAGGGATGTTTTGGAAAGGGATAAACCAAGTGCTGGTGCTGGGAATGCTGTGAGCTGTGCTAGTGGTGCCCTGACAGTCAGAGCTCTGCTGTGGGGTAATGGAGGGTAGTTTTTGCTTTGCTTTTATGGACTACATTGAGTTGGGAGCGCATCACAAGGATCAAGTTCAACTCCTGACCCTGCACAGGACAATCCCAAAAATCACACCATGAATTCCTTACTTTGCTGTGCTTGTAGTGCGCCAGGTGGCAACGCAGCTGCAGTGGGGAGGGTTGGGGGATGTGGAATATCCCTGGGGCAGAGAAGGAAGGAATTCCTGCTGGGGCTGTACATGGGGTGTGTTTCAGCCAGGAAGTGCTGCTCCCCTACACTTGGGTTGGACAAGATCAGACACAGAAACAAATATATCAGCCCAGGCTGGAATTCTTGCAGGGGAAGATGGATACAGAGCTGCAGCCCCAGCACATTTCTTCCCTCTTTCCCCAGAGCCATCGTGTTTGTGGTGGACAGTGTGGCCTTCCAGCGGGAGGTGAAGGACGTGGCAGAGTTCCTGTACCAGGTCCTGGTCGATGGCACTGTCCTCAAGAACGCGCCCGCGCTGCTCATCGCCTGCAACAAGCAAGGTGCCCTGGCCTGGGCCTGGCATCCAGCCCTGCAGGGAATGGGATTCATGGCATGGGTCCTGAACTCTGTAGGAGCTGAGATTTCAGCAAAGCGAAGGCTGGAATTTAGATTTAAATGCAGACTACTCAGCAGGAGCATTTTTAGCATCACTTGAGAGATCTACAGCTCTTTGTGTGGGCTTAAGTAAGGTGCTTCCTGCTTGAGCAGAGCTGTTCCTCAGTCTCCAGGCAGCAGGAAATAGGATCAGCTTGAGCATAATGAACTATTCCTACACTCTCAGCAGCTTCAATGTTGAAACCAGTCATTTATCTGCCAAGAGTCTGTGCTCTCTCTCGTTTGGACTAGCAGGAACACCCAGTTACTGAAAAGGACTCGATTTTCAGATCCACACAGTTTTTACAGTGGAAGTGTGGATCCCCCTGTAACAATCTGAAGTTTTTGGGCAGTGTCAGGTCTGGGTTTTGTAGCTGTTTTGTGCACTAATTCAGGAGCTGCCTGAGGCCTTCGTGGCTCCACATGCCCTGCGTGAAAGGCGCTGTGTGGAGCTCTGTAGTGCCAGGACAAGTGGGAGCGCTGGGGCATCAAACCCCGTCCTCTGAAGCAGCTCCCTGCCCAGCAAGAAGGAATTAAATCCCTGTGTTGTTTCAGGCTGTTTTGTTGTTCCCATTGTCTGCAATCCCAAAGCTCCAACATCCCTTATCCCGCACAGGCACAGCTGTCCTTGTCCCGATAACTCTGGTGACTGCACAGCATGAGCTGGCCTTGCTTTAGGAGGGGGAGCTGGCATTCTGAATTCTGACAGAAAGCCAAAGAGCTGATTTCCTTTTCTTTTCTCTCTCTAGATGTCACAATGGCAAAATCAGCAAAACTTATTCAACAGCAGCTGGAGAAAGAGCTGTAAGTATGGAATGGGATCTCGATCCCTCTGAGCTTCTCCTCTTGTCTTTTCTCTCACCTCAGTGCTTGGTGAGCTCCTTTGAGCCATGTCTGAGTTCAGGTGGCAAAAAAGCAGTCTCTTTTGTCTGGGGGCTCAGCAGTGCTGGGTTTACAGTTGGGCTCGATGATCTTACAGGGCTTTTCCAACCTAAATGATTCCGTGATCCAATAACCCCTTTGGCCAGCAGACGGCAGCAGGGATATTTGTGCTGGTTTCTCTCCCAGGCTGAATATCCAACCTTCCTGTTTTTAAGGCAGGAATTAGTTGCCACATATTCACATTCTCCAGGGACCATTGCTTGGTTCTGGTGTTGAGGATTTTCCAGTTGCCTGTGTGCAGATGTTGGGTTTCTAGGCAGGTCACATGTGCCCTGTTACCACTGTTATTCCTGCAGGCTGGCAGATTGCTGCCGTCCTTCTCCTGGCACTGCCATACTCGGATGTCTATGAGTGGAGAACCCAAGGAAGTGTCTGCTCACTTATTCCTGAACTCTGGGCATGTTATTTCCCTGTGCCCCTTTAATTTAGCTCCATTCTGTGAATAAGGAATATATGGGAGCAGTGGGGGCAGTCGATCCCCCTCTCAATCCCCAGATTGGCACACCCAGGCGCTGTGTCAGGGATCCTGCTGATCCCTGATGCCACGGGTGCCTCTCCCTTCCCAGTTAACCTGTTAAACTGGCACAGACCCTGAGGACTGTAGGCTAAATCTTGTGTAATTCCTGTGATCAGTGGGGAAATTGAGCTGAGGACATCATCACCTGACTCGTGCTGCTGTTTATTGCAAAACCAAACCTGCTCAAGCACCTCTCCTTGAGTGCCCTCCTGCCTGTCTTGCTCTCTTGAGCCTCTGCACTTGTGACTTCCAGTAGTGGCCAAAGCTCCTGCCTGTGCCTCCCAGGGCAGAGCCCTGGGCCTTCTGTCCTTGGTGTGGCTGCATCCTGCTGGCAGAGCTGCATCCCAAGCATCTCAGCAGCCACAGTATTCCCCTGGTTCCCAGTTCCTGACCCTCTCCCCTCTCTCTCTGCAGCAATACCTTACGGGTGACCCGCTCCGCAGCCCCCACCAGCCTGGACAGCTCAGGGGGTCCTGCCCAGCTGGGCAAGAAGGGCAAGGACTTCGACTTCTCCCAGCTGCCTATGAAGGTGGAATTCGTGGAGTGCAGTGCTCGGGGCAGCAAGGGGGAGGAGGGAGATGCTGACTTGGAGGGCCTGGAGAAATGGCTGGTGAAGGTCGCCTGAACAGGAAAGGGGGCAGGACACTTGGGGGCTGAAGGGAAGAAGATGGTCTGGAGCACTTAAATCTCATCTGGCTGTAGAAAGAAGGACCTGAAGCTGGAATTCAGCACTATGGTGTCTTCCTCTGCTTCTTGTGGGCTTGGGAGTGACATGACAATTGCTGGTGTGATTTCCTTTGTCTCTTCACACTGCAGTGTTTTTATCCTCTCCCCTCTTTGTCCTCCTCTGGGAAGCTGACCCTCTGGACTTCTGTTTCTCCTTAATCTTTAGGCTTTTCATTTGGTAGTTGCCAAGCAAATTAGGAAGAAGTGTGCTGCTAGGTGGGTTTTAGAGACTGAAATCTGTGCTTTCTTCTGCCTTGATTTAGCATTGCAACCCCACTGCCTCTCAGAGCCACTGATCACCTCCTGGCTGGGGCTGCTGTTCCCAGCCTCCCACTGCTGGAGAGCACTGCACATCACCTCTGCTGATGCACAGGCTCCCTCAGTTGGGCAAGCATTGAGGAGAGTATAAAAGGCTGTTTTCCTCTCTGTCTCTACCTTTCCATTCTTCCAAACTGGTGCAACCCCATTTCTGTGGGGCTGGAGGGGTCTGTGGAGTGCCCAAACCAGGCTGGCTGCTCTGCTTTAGTCCCTGTGCCCGTGTCCTTGGTGATTTCCGCTCTTGGTCAGCTCTTGGGAGTTGTTCTTTAGCTGAGGGCTGTGTCTTGAAACTGTGGGGTGAGCACGATTTTAGATCCATACCTGCATTGTGTGTAAGCTTTGGCCATGTCAGGCATTTGTCCTGCAGTCCCCTGCTGCCTCCTGCTCCAATGGCTGCAGGAAGGTCTTATTTGATGTGTAATTAATCACCAGTTGTGGCAAAGTGAGAGGGAAAATCAAGGACCTGCCAACACATAGGTGTGCTTCCTCCTCCTGAGGAAGGTGCTTAAGGAAGAGGGGAAGGAAATGGGAGATTTTCCCAGATTGTGTCTCATTGCACATTGCAGTGTCCTACTGCAGGAATATTTTTCCCTTCTTTTTTGTGACTTTCTCTTGTTTTAGAGTTGAGAGAGTGGCTGGCTCCTGGCAGACCCTTTTTGTCCTTTGCAGACCCCTCCTCTCCAGTTTGGTCCTTCCTCCATCGCTCAGCTCATCTGTTGTGTTCTTTTCTTTGGGGCTTTCCCTGCCTCCCGTAGCATTACAAAGTTTTGGGAAGAGCAGGAACAGCCCTCCCAAAGCCCTTTGCCCATAACAAAGCTGATCCTTGCATTTCTGCTCTTGGGAACCCAGTAGCTCTTCCACTATCCATGCAGGAGGTGGGGAGGGTTATATTTACCAAGGATATTATATTCTATTTCCTGCAGCCAGAGTCTTGTCAGAACATGTTTGTCATGCTTTAAGCTCATTTAGCTGAAGATCCAAGGCTACCTGCTTCAAATCCATGGTGCCCAGGTGGTTTTGGGCAAAAAATTGCTGTTTCTTTGGGTGGTTGTTCTTGTGAAGATGCATCTCCTTGAAAAGCAGAGGCCAAGCACCAGCCTCTGTGTAAGGGGGATGGAAAGGTACCAATGAGGCCATGGTTGGTTTTAAGTAATTTTTTAAAAGTATTCCTGAAATAAATTTTTTTTTTTGCTTAAATGTTTGTTCTCAAGTCTTGCTTTAGTCTCTGTATTTACGTTGGCCCTTCTTGGCGGTGTCAGATCCGATTGGATGGGGCTCTGCTCCTGCTCAGCATGTTTGGGATCAACCTTCCTCCTCTGTGGCCAGGTCTGTGTTGTCAAAAATCATCCTCTTCTGCACACACAGGGCTTTGGGTTTGGGTGTTTCTGTGTGTGTGTTTGCCCCTTAGTCTGAATGTTAGAGAATTGGGAAATTCATTGATAAATTGATACTCACATAGCAAAAAAATGACTGAAAAACTTTAAAAAGGAGACACTTTGCTGACACGCATGGGAAGAGCCCAGCCAGCTGCAGGGCGTGGTGGTTTAGGTGGCAGAGCACCACTGCTGTGCCATGGAGGTGACTGTGGCACCCCATGGCTTCACAGCTGGGTGGAGATGGCTCAACTTTCCCTGCAGGGCTGTGTGGCTGAGCTGGAGCTGCTCCCAGAACTGCCCGTGCTGGAGCTGTTGCAGAGCTCCCTGTGTTCTTTGGGCCTCACTCCATGACCTGCCTGTCAAATATTTGGGGCTGTTTTTCCCAAGTGGCTGAAGGAGAGAGAGAAGGGCAGAACTGGAAACTCTGAGTGTTGTGTTCTTGGGGGGTTATTTCCCCTCAGTCAGCTTTGTGCTTTGGTCTTTGCTCTTCTGCCCTTGTTCCTAGTCTGTGGCTTTGTGCTGGCCGGGGATGATGCTCCTCGGCCACTGCAACTTGGCAGTGGTGTGTTGGGATGGCTTTGGCAGGACAGTGGGATAAACTCAGTCCCTTCTGCTCCCACTGTGTTCACACATCTGCAGGGATTGAGGCTCTCACTGTGCTCTAAAGCTCTTTTGGTCAATGTTTTTTGCTGTGGGTTGTGCTCCAGATTGTCCCCCTGGAAAAGGCAGATATTTTTGGAGGAGATGGATGAGCACAGTGAGATCTGGGATAGCAGAAACCAACTGACAGTGGAGGAGAGGTTGCTGAAAGGTGAAGAAAAGCAAAAATAATAATGCCTGGACATCAGCATCCTGAGGGTGGTGGTTTCCAAGGGTGTTTAGGGAAAATCTGCCAGGTGGAGGGGGGACAGGAATAGCATGGACAGACCTCAATTTCATAGAGACTTGCTGATCCAGAGCAAATTCACCTCTCCTGCCCTTTCACTTGACTCCCTTTGTGAGCACAGATGCAGCAGGGCCAAGAGCATAGGGAAAAGAACAATGCCTTGCCCCTCATAGCAATGGGATAAGGACAGGGGCTGAGTACAGTTACCCAAGAAAACTCCTAAAAGAAAGCCCAAAGTCCATTGTACCCTGCCCAGAGCCCTCTGCAGTGTAGAATTTATATGATTTAAAAGTAGCTTTAATGCTTGACGTAAGTAGCTGCAATTGTTGGGCCACAGGTTGAACTTTAACTGAACCATGTGGCTGTGCTGTGTCAGTCAGAGATGGATCAGAGGGGAACCTGGGGAATCTGATCATTAATAAGAGTGAAAATCGTTACTAATAGTTAGAATAGACAAAGCTACAGCTTAAATATTGCTTAAAAATTGACAGCTGGAGCAAACAGCCCATAGATCGTGGTCTGTGAACTGTAACAACCCTGTCACAGCGTGGAGTAACAGAACACACTGAACCCTTACCAAAACCCACCTCAAGGGCTGAAGCAACAGTTTAGTACCGTAACAGCGAAGCCATGAGGAGTGGGAAGGACCCCAGCCCCTGATATGGCTGTTGGTCAGGACTGTCGTGTGAGGGAGGGGGAATAAAGGTTGTAAGGAGTTTCTTTGTTCATGGTCCTGCTTTTGAGGCACCAGCTCGAGCAAGCAAATAGCAGAATTGTCTGTGCCCAGAAATGTATCAAACGAGGGGAGAGCCTCAGGTCAAAAATTGCTGCTGCTTGCAGCCCTGCTCCTGTTGGACTCGATGATCCAGAATATTCTGTGATTCAGCACAGCATCCCCCCTGCCTTGCCTGGCTGCTGGGGTCAGCTCAGGAGGTGGGGGGAGACCAGGGAACCACCACAGTTGGAAAAGTGACCTTTATTTAAAAAATAAAAAGAGCAACAAACCGCAAATGTTCTGCAACAAACCCCTTGTGATATACTTGTCACAACATGTGTGTGATGTCCATGCTGACCTCTGCAAGGGGTGGGGGGACACCAGGCAGCCCCTCAGGGCTGGCAGCCACGTCCCTGCTCCTGTCCCAGCCAGGAAGGCGCTACCTGGTTGGAAATGTCATGCCGGAACAGGGACCATCGCCCTGTTGGCACTTCTTTGGGTCCACGCGTTCCAGCCTCTTTCTACCTCCTGGTCCAGCTGCTGGGGGACTGCCCCCTCCCCAGGGTGATGGGCAAGTGCAGCTGGAGAGCCCGGGGGAAGCCGTTCCCAGGACGGGGCTGGCACGGAGTATCCCTCGCCGGGAGCATGGCGGTGCCCTGGGCTGCAGGAGAGGAGCTTGGAGCTGCTGAGGTGAAGTTGCTCCCGAAAGGAGGTAAAACGAACCCAAATGAGACAAAGAACTGGCAGTGCATGGTGGGGTGTGGAGTCAGTCCCTGGGGGCTACACCAGCCCCGCTGCCTTCTCCTGCACATTGTACTCCTTGCTCCTCTTCACCTTCCAGCTGATGAGAGCGAGCAAGACGGTGCCCACCACCTTGTAGCCCACCTGCAGCCCCAGGTATCTGCCGGGAGAAGAGCAGGGAGATGCCGTGTCCAGAGGTGGCACCTCCAGTTGGCCCCAGGCTGAGCTGGGGACCATCCCTGTGGCCATGTCCGCCAGGGGGGACAGGGCACAGGTGCCAGGTGTACCTGTTGCGGAGGAAGTTGTTGTTGTAGTAGGCGCAGAACCGGCGCTGGGTGCACTGCTGCTGCCAGTAGATGCAGGACGAGTCAATGAGTGCTCCGAACATGGCTGGGGCTGGCAGCCAGGCTTGGGAGAAGAGAGGATGGAGTCAGGCTGCTGTCCCTGACGAGGTTCAACACCTCCTGGGGCTCCAGCAAACCTTCACCGCTCCCCTCAGTCTCATTAGGAGATGGACACTCACCCAGCAGCCTCATTAGTAAGAACTGGACGCCGATGGCAAACGACTTCTCATCCTGGTTCACCACCCTGCAGGGGAGAAGCCACAGGAGGTCAGAGTGGTGGTGCTGGCTCTGGGTTTGGTCTAGACTTGGGCTGGTTGCACATTTATGACATCCCATGGATCCCAACGTGGGGAACCATAACATTACACTCCCCCCTGTGACTCCTGCATGCCCACACCCGGTGCTCACCGTAACACCATCATGTAGAGGGGGTTGTGGGACAGGCAGGCGACCAGGGCAGCGAAGGAGATGAGGAATATGGCAGGAAAGAGCATGTCAGAGCAGCTGAGTGGACAGGAGCCTGAGTACAGCTCCTTCCCAGGAGGGATCTGGGAACAGTTCTTGTAGATCTGTTGGAAACGTTTGGAACAGAACAGACGTAAGACTCCCAAAGCCAAGAGCAGGGATTTTAGTGACGCATCGGACCGCAGCCCTTTGCAGGAGACTGACGAGAGCATCAGCTCCAATTTTAAGGCCACAGCCATGGCATCCTGCAATGGGATGTGCCACCATCCCTATTTCTCCAAGCAGACTCCCAGGAATTCTCTGTGGCACCTTCCCAGGACTCCAGCTCCCTGGTAGACTTCCCAGCACACCGTGCCAAAAAGGTTCCACCCCCTTGTTGCATCTGTCAGGTTCCTGCAGCATCACTCCCCTGTCCCCAGCGAGCAAAGGTTCAGGCTGCTTTGCAAACCATGTGCTTTACTCACCACTTGGTTGGGGTGGGAGGAATTGATGGTGCTGCTGGTGCAGCCAGCGAAGCAGGGCGAGATGTACTCCACCTTGTTTTCCCAGCACACCGGGTGGAAGATGTGCTTGGAGCAGCGGCACCCACTCGGCTCCTTAACCTGCTGCTGGGAACTCAGTGTACTGCCAAAAAGAGGAGGGAAAAATGGGGGAAAAAATTAAGAAATAGGACAGAAAGAAGAAAAATAAAAGTCTCTCTTACTAGTTGACCGGTTTTCCCGTTCCTGTTTGGACTGGGACACTGCCAGCAGCAACCTGGCCTCCTGCCAGCCCCTGATCCCTGGAGGTACCTCTGGAAGTGTACAGTGAATGTCGCAGGAATTATGTCTCCAAACAAGTACTTACACACTTCTTTTTTCCTTTTTATTTTTCCTTTCCTCCCCAACTGAAAACTAATCGGCCAAACTCCTGGAGAAACGGACCTGGGCTCCATCCAGAGCTGTACAAGCAGCTGTGCAAACAGCCCCAGCTGGAAACACCACACAGACACAAACTGGAAGTGGGCACATTCCCAAACAAGCCTGATGACAGTAAGGACAAATCCAGTGATCTGTGCTATCTTTCCTTCATACCTGAGGGAGTGGATCTGCTAAGTGGCACAGCTGGAATCCTGCAGGAATTTGGGACAAGGGAGCTGCCCCTGGGCAGGGTGTTGCTCCATCCCTGCAGGAAAATGGCACCAGAAACCTCTTCCTTGCTGGCATTCCCACTAGGAAATGAGCACAATGCACTTGATATCAAGCCTTGGTGGTATCTAAATGTCATTTTTATCTTAGAAAGTCATGGTAAGGGTCAAAAGTATCCCCTGAGGTGCCGAGAAAGGTGATGTCCAGCTCAAACACGGGGAGCGCATGAGGTGATGTAAACACAGGCACTAATATTACTAATTTCCCCCTGAAAATCCAGAGTGAAAAATACATCCTGCTTGTCTGGCATAGAAAATCAGGGATAAATGACCTCCCAAGTTCTCTGTGCTGTGAATTGCAAGGATCAACTCCAGGCAATGGGATCAAGGAGCAAGCAGTAGCACGGCCATGTCTACTGCCTCTTCACCTGCGTGTATCCCTCCCCATGGACAAGCAGGACAAGGGCTGGAGAAACAGGGAGCTGGGAGCAGCCCAAGGACCTGCATTACCTGCGGGGGTAGATGCCCTCGATGTGCCCTGTGGAGCA